ATTAGTCAGAAAAATTTTTTCTTCTCCAGTATGCCTACAAATTAATAAGTAAGAAAATTGCGATCAGATAACTCTTAAAAACTTTTCATAACATCAAAAGCAGATGAAAAAAAAAAAAAGATAGTAACTGCAGCAATAAAACTGCTGTTCTTTCACCCTTTTTCTTCAATATGGCTGTCTACAAGATTGGAAACAGATTTCACCAGAAATAAAAACAGAGCAAAAATGTAACCAAATAAATAACTTTGGAAAAAAACTTTTTTTTAGAATAACCAATTAATTTAGATGCTATTTCGTTCCATCCACTTTTCTGTGTTACATATTACCTTTTCATTATTCGGCATACGTATCGTTAATTCTTTGCCTTCGACAACGGTTACTGGTGCAACAACAAAACCTTCTACCGAATCTGCTACCCATTTATGAGATTTATTGTCAAAACGACGAGCTGATTGTTCCTAAAGTTTATTTTCAAGTTTCTAAGCAGCTATCTTAATTAAAATAACAAAAAAAAAAAAAGATTTTTTAATGTATTGATTACCTACTCTTAAAAAGGTGAAAAAATAAAGTGAACAAAAATCTTTTGAAAAAAAGAGTAGGCAACATATATTCTGTAAAATATGAGTGCAGATTTACTTCTGATTACTGTACAACCTCTCCATCAGCTTATAACTTTTACAGACGTCTTTTTTCCTTTAGTTTTCCGTTTTTTTTTTTTGCTTCCACTTGTTGAAGCTAACGAAAAAAAAAAAAAAGCACTGATGTTGCATTTTCACTTTTTTTTTTTTTGAATCACTCTTCAAAAGCATTGCAGAAACTTTGTAAAAAGTTGTCAGCAAAAAAAAAATATGACAGTAAATACGATCGTCTGAATTGTTGTTGTTGTTGCTGCAACTGCTGTTACCGTTACTGTCCCCCAACTAATACAATGATACAATGAATTTTCCAATTCTCTTTTCTTTTGACCATGAATACAAGTTTTTAAAGCAATTTCAAATAAATATATAGCAATACATAGAACAATTTTGGCTGAACAGATTTAATCTACTGCTGCCACTTTTTTTTTTAGCTATAGCTGTTTTTATTGTTGTTGTTATTCTGAGGTTAAAAAATTAAAAGCAATTGCCGAATTCCACTGACAATGACGCACATATTTGCTGTTTATCTATTTGTCACAGTTTGTTCAGTAAGTTTCCTGTACCTCAAACATAAGCTAAACAGTGTAAGCACTCCAAAACTTAACATCTTTTGCGCACTTCCAATTCATTGCACCTACAAACTATAAAATCCCATAAACATCCAAATTGATTCTTGTTCTAATTTTTACCACTATCTAATACCTTTTATCACCCTCCATCTGTCAGGTAAACAAGGAAGAATGATTTAATGAGAAAAAAAAATTCACTAAAATAATTGTGATATCAACTATTAAAAACTTTTTTCACCTAACATCAAATTTTAACCATCGATTTGAAACATATATTTCTTAGCTCAACCATTGATATCACTTTTAGCCCTACAATAAAGTAAATAAAACATTTTTACTTTCAACTGCTAAAGCTGCAGAAAATCAGAAAAGATTCTAAAAGTTCCAATAATTTAAAAACTACAGGTACCAGTGAAAAACTGCTCACTTTTATTTAATACCCCAAAATTAAAACAACAGATCTTAAACATAACAATTCTCTTTAAAGCTGCTAACCACCACACAATTCACTAAAATTTCCACTGAAAGATGATTGTAAAAAATTATAACAATAATAATAATAAAAATAATAATAATAATAATAATAATAATAATAATAATAAATAATAATAATAATAATAATAATAATAATAATAATAATAAGACAGTAAAGAAATAGAAGAATAAACGCCGTAACGTATGTAAGTGAGAAAAGGCTTGATTAAGAATGTATGAATCACAATTATCATAATAATTAAATAAAATTTTCTTGCAAAATTGCAGCTTACTAAGCAGATATGTCTTGGCTCAAAAATGCTGGTGCAAAGAAAAAAAATATTACATAACCAACCAATCAACTTTTTTTCCGTAATGATCCGACAAACAAATAAAATGACAAAAGTCGACAAAAAAAAAGTACGCCAACTTAAAACTCAAGTATAAAGTTACCTTGAGCAATAAATCATCAGGCTGCCTTAGATAAATCCAACCAAGATCTTCGATCCATTCTAAGTTGACCATTCTACCTGAAGATCAAGTGAAAGACTACGCAATGTAATTGACACACAGTGTTGACTGTCTAGTTTCTCTCCGCCCCGAATTTTTATCCATCTCTCCACTTCGAAACCTCAAACCCTAACATTTCTTTAGAAAAACATTGCTATTCATCATTCTCTGCCCCCTCCTCTCTCCTACTGTCCCCCTTCTCAAACTTATGTATCACCACATAACAAAAAAATCTTCCCCTCTCCTGTCTTCCCATCACATTACATGCAAAGTTACCACAGTAATCAAAATTAACAACAACAATAACAACAACAGAAAGCAAAAATAAGTGAAAAAGACAGTTACTGAATCTATTGAACGAAAAAAAAGATCACAGCATTGTCACAGAATAACAACAAATTCATCAATCTCACAACTTTAATAACATGTCGGAAATTCTATAGATAGTAGGCCGTTCCTTTGGGTCCACCTTTAACATCGCACGTATCAGATCGATTAACTTTGAGCTGAATCTGTAATTTGAAAAAAATAAAACCCTGCTTCAAGTCAACTGTACAAAATACCATAACACAGTTTGTAAACATCGCAGCCACACTAAAACTCTTTTTGAAACATTGGCTGATCGAGTATCCTCATAAAACGTCTGAGATTTTTTTTAAACAAGTGGAGATATCTGTTAAGTTTGCAAACCTTCATTCAATATAGCAAAAGTTTTGTTCAGAACTTATATGCAAAATCAATCCTTAAACAAAACAAATCTTCAAAGAAGAGAAACTAGTTTTATCTGAAGATAAAAGAAATTTTTCCATTCCAATTGCCAACAATTTTTTATTTTTTTTAATAAGAGAAATATTATTGTTATGGAAGAACAGGTGCTAAAGTAAACAAAAAACGACTAACGGGTGGCCATTGGGTATTACGATATTTGGGGACTGTACGGCCAAAGCAATGCTGTCGCCCCTCTCATAAATATCATCGAACAGCGAGCGAAAGAAACACAATGCATACAGCAAACAACCCAGCGACTAAACAAAAATTCAATTAACTCCTGGAACCTTTTAGCAATCCAAGCAGAAAAAAATGAACGAAAAGAAGAACAAAATTGAATAATAAAAATAGCAAAAAAAGCCTCAACATTTCAAAAACTATCTTCTGAAGAAGTAACATCACTCATGAATTAACGTTAGCCAAATCTAAAATACTTTCCTTCAGCAGCCTGTACCCACCTATATGCTTTGTAAATTAGCAGACAGTACACCTAAAAATATCTATATAAAACATAAGCTAGCTTCATTCTGGTCTCTTCAGTCGCATAAACAAATACTCAACCTCATTTCACAGGTACTACAAAAGAACAAAAATGAAAAATGTACGAAACAGTTAAGACTTCCACTTCAAATAGCGTCCAATAATATAGCATAGAACTAACTTTAATCCCGTCTTCTTCACAGCTAAAAATTTCAGTTACACAAGACTTTCTCAGAAAAAACAATTGGTCTTGAACAAAGCGATAAAATACAGGAGAGTTGCAACTGTATGTGACATAATAACAGTTGGAACTAAAAGAACAGTACACTAGCTCAGAAAATGTTCTTTCATTTAACATTTTTCCTTAACAATTGTGAAACAGTGAACTAATGCAATCGTTTTCACTTAATGCAACAAAAAAATAAAAAAATAAATGCAGTGTTCTACGACTTCCACTTAAACTTACAATTAAATAAAAAATTTAAACATACGAAACCAATTTCAAAGTGAGATATACGGAAAGTCCAGAAAAATCTCAAAATTAAAAGGTCCACTATTTAAAGACAAGACGAAGAGAGGATAAAGGTTCTTGACTGCGCAGTAATACAGTGATGTAAATAAAGTTAAGGTCAGAAAACCCTTCCAAATTTTTTTCAGGCAAGCAAGGAGGCTGAAATACAAGTTTCAGTCCACTGTTAGTATAAGCTCAGTTCTGTTAAGACAAAGGTCATAAAAAAGAATAAAACTTACTAAAGACTAAGAGCCAAAGATTTGCCCTAGACTGATCGCTCAGCTCAAATCTTATAAAACAGCACACCTCCTTTATCAATGACCACTCATAACAGCAGCTCTACCACTAATTAATACTAACTCCACTTGCTTATAGAGATTTGTCGGAACTAACGTCCCGCTTGTTACTTGAACCTATGTTAAAAAAATGACGTAACAAAAAAAAATCGATTTTTCTTACAGTCAATGAATCTAAGTAAAAAAAATGCTGCCCTTCATCTTTAAAAAATCATCTAATTCCGCAGTAATTACAACAATGAGAACCGGAATTTCTCGTTGTTTTTCCGAAAACAGTAGGAAAAAATTGAAGAGCACAAAATCTGGGTCTCAAGGAAAGCATATCCGAAATCTAAGTGAACAGCTTTGTTACTTCAACAAACTATGAACTATTTTTCACCGTTAAGTCCTAATGAGTGCTATGTAAACATTTATAAAGTGGTAAGTAAATTGCGCCCAGTTCGTAGACAAACAGCATAAAAATAACTTTCAGAAATTTACGACGGAACAATAAAAATTTCATAAATGCAATGTACTCTTTTACGTTAAGAAAAAAACATTCCCGCGTTAATCTGGCAAGTCGAACATAATTCTATCTTTGTCCACTCATAATAAGCAAATTATCTTCTAGTAATAAAGCTGCATTCTTAACGCTAGGTCCTTAAAGCAATGGTAAGCTATAAGGGTAACTCGTTATAATAAAGGTTCGGTATACCTTACACTTTTACAGATAATGACAATAAATAAACGATTTTTGAAAATAAATCTATGAAACAATGTAAACAAAAAAAAAAAAAAAAAAAA